TTTTCTTAAATACCCCCAAAAGTGGTGGCACACTCCAATACACATGGCGCATACAAAACAAAACCAAACAAAACAAAAAACAAAAACAAAAACTATACTTCTACTATAATCTGCCATATGTCTACGATGCTGTACAACTCCCCCGAAAAGGTGAGAGAAAAAGATTTTTTTTGACAAGTTAAAAGAAGGAAAAGAAAAGATACTAAGAAGTTGATAGGGAATTGGGGAATTTCCCTTGGAAACACGTTATGAACACTGAAGCCCGTTCAAGGTAGGTTACTTTAGGTGGTTGGTAGTTCATGCGAAGATTTTTACCATTGAAAATTGATTAAAAAATGAAAATTCCTCCCTCATTAGTGTTTGTTTGTGCAAGGAAGTGGCGATGTGGTGGATCATTTTCTTTTTCTCTGTACAGTGGCAAGGGAGATGTGGACCCTATTATTGTCCTTGTTTGAAGTGTCTTGGCTCTTCTGTCTTGCCTGGATCTATAATGGAGTTATTTAAAAATTGAATTGGTGGTCATTTCTTTTGGAATCTACATTTTCCTTAGGGATGCCGATAATTAGTCATTTGTTGGTATCAAAGCATGGCATTTGTCCATGCTTTTTGCAAATTTATGTATACACAAAGGTGGTTATACTTGTATGCATCCAAACATACCACCTTCTATGAACTTTCTAGTCATAGTATTAATATATATGAGAGATGATACGGTATATTATGGATAATATTTTATAAATGATGAGATGAGAGTTAAAGATGTAAAATAAGAAATAAAGAAATTAAAATGAATGGTAAGTGTAATATTTTAGTGTTTTAGTCTTATTATATTTAAAATTTAAAATTATATAATATATATTATATACATATAAAAGGTCTCTGCTGGTATGCTGAGGCTGTTGAGCAGATCTGCTATGCTGATTGATCTGAGCTGAAAAGGGAGGTTGATTCTGGGTTGATCTGGTGCCCTGAAGCCATGGTTTGCATAGGTCTGCTCTGCTGCCTATTGAACAGAGTTGCTATGCTGCTGATTGCTGATATGTTCAAATACAGTCTTGGTTTCTGCTGTGTTGTAATAATTGCTCAGATATGTTTAGGCTATTCTTGGTATTAGGACTGAGATGCAGGTAAATCTGTCACCAATATTTGGAAGGTGGAAGCTGGGCTTTGCAGATTGGTAGTCTCGCTGAGGTAGGTAGCTGGTCTGTTCTATCTGTGAAGGTAATATGGCTCCAGCGTTGCTCCATTGGAATGATCTGTCTGCTCTGTTGGAAGTTGGAAGCTGGTCTGGCTCCACTGTGGCCCCCTTGGAATGTATGTTGTAGATTGTAATAGCCTCATACCTTGTTATTTTCTTTGATTTTTTTGTTCTTTTAATATTTGGTGAGAGCAAAGTGTAGTTTGAGATTGAATTTTTAGTGATTGTTTTTGCCAAATCACAGATTGTACGTACTATTGCTCTTGTATACATGTTAAATTCTCAAGTTTTCTTCTTAGTTAGATTCTTTGGCTATGTTGAATGAATTTTGTTCCTTAATTGTGGTACCAAAACTGTGAGCAATTTTTAATGTTTTAAATGTTATTGTTCCTTAACTATGGTTGGGTTGAATGAATTTTGTTCGATATTGGATTGAATGTTTAAAAACAAAAATTGAATGCTCTGGAAAAAAAAAATAGAGAGATTTGGCGACTAAAAAATTGGTCGGCAAATTCTACACTTTTGCGACTAAAATCATTGGTCGGCAATTCCTTACCTTTTGGCGACTAAATTGTTAGTCGGCGATTCCTTGACTTTTGGCGACCAAACTTTTTGGTCGTGGAATGTCACGATTGGCGACCAAAATTTTTTGGTCGCGGAATGTCACGATTGGCGACCAAATTTTTTGGTCGTGGAATGTCACAATTGGCGACCAAACTTTTTGGTCGTTGAATGTGATAATTGGCGACCAAACTTTTTGGTCACGAAATGTGTCAATTGGCGACTAAGATATTTGGTCGGGAAAAAATCACTTTTCGCGACCAAAGTGTTTTACCGACTAAATGAATTAGTCGCGATAATGATATATTTAGCGACCAAAAATTTAGTCGGCAAATCCAACTTTTGCCGACCAACCAAAATTTTGGTCGCGAATTACTTTTGCCGACCCTCAATTGGCGACCAAAAAAATTGGTTGCGGATAACTTTTGCCGACCAAAAATTGACTTTTAGCGACCAATTTTTTTGTTGCTAAAAGTGTTAATTCTTGTAGTGACGTGTGTGTTTTGTGTTTTGTGTTTGTGGATTATGATCGACTTTCAAACTGCAACCCTCCTAGACTTTTGTGTTTTCCAAAAAAATGAAAACATTAAACAGAAAGCAAAAACATATTTATTTATTGCTTACAGAAAAAACATATTTATTTATTTATTTATACTGAGAGAGAAATAGTCAACTTTTGTCATTGATAAGTATTAATCCCTAGACCTCCAATGTAAGAGTGTACAAGAGTGGCGAAATGAACATAGTTCAGATGGAATAACGAATAATTATCCCATTCTTTATATAATTTTTGTGTATGTTTTTTTATTTATATATCATTGCTCATGAAAAAAATAAAAATACTATATACAGAAACAGAGTTCAATATGACGCTGCAAATTTCGTATGACAATGTAAGCTTGTGAACAACTACAAGTCAAATATATATATATATAAGTCACAGAAGATTCCATAGTATGGGAAAGATATGTACTTTTTAATCAAAGAAGAAAATGGTATAATTTTATACTTTCTAACTCATAACTGAAAAAAAAAAAGAAAAAAAAAAGAGCCATAATCTAACATTACATTAGGTATAATCAAAGATCTTATGAGTCATCAGTAAAATAATTAAAGAAGAAAATTGATTATAACTAAAAAAATATGACATAATTAAAGGTTCATATAATTACCTTGAAATGAGGTGTGTACAGAAGAAATTTCCATGCAATGTTTTCAATTCATTTGTGATGAAAGAAGACCCGCAGTGTCACATGACTTTGGAACAATAAATTCATAGAAAATGTTAAATTATTGGCCGACACGCGATGTGTGTGTAATTCAAAAAAATGTACTACTATAAGAATAATAATAAAGAGGAATGCACACATAGTATGAGTTTTTCAAGTTGCAAATGTGTTCTTTATCAAACATACGATCTTGGTTTCGAGTCCCATCGTATTCAAATTCTTAAACCAAACATAGCCTAAAGAGTCAAAACACAAAAAATTCATCTCCAACAATCTACTTACTCTTCATATAAATAAAAGAAGAAATTTCATTTTATCTTCCAAACTATACATCAATGATCAATTTAACCCCTATACTTATAATTTCAAAATTACACCTAAACTATTCAATTTTGGATCAATTTTACCTCTACCATTAGTTGCCGTCTTCATTTGAGATTTCATTTTACTCTCAAATTATCCCCAAAATATCAATTAGACTCCTAAACAATATGAAGTTTGGGGTGTAATTGATATTTTTGAGATAATTTGGGGGATAAAATAAAATTTCAAATGAAATTTTGGTACTACGTCAACAACTTCCGTTTGATTATACACGATAATTAACAGCAGGAGTATAATTGATCCAAAATCAAATAGTTTAGGTATAAAATTAAAATTATAAGAAGTATAAGGATATAATTTGGAGAGTAAAATGAAATTTTTTCTAAATAAAAAAGAAGAAAAGAAGGGAAAACCCTCCCTACTCAATTATCCATTAAGGGATACTTTTCGCTCTCTACATTGAGGATGGTTTTATTACTCTTTATAATTAAAATAATTATTTTTTCTCTCATCTCTCATATTTTCTTCAAAAGGTGGAGGAGGAGGAGGGAGAAGAAAGTAGGATAAAATATTTTTGATAAAAAATAATAAAGAAAAATATTTAAAACGAGTAGAGAAAAAAAAAGTATTACAAGAGATGATAATTGAAAAAGTGATTAATTTTTGAAAAACAAGAAAAAAGAAAAACATATTTTAACTAAATTTGAGAGGAAAAATGAATATTGTTAGAGATGGTCTAAGTAACCTTAGTGACAATCATCAAAGAGAGAGAGAGAAAACAATTTTCACTGTGAAAGGAATTTTGACCCTTGTGCCATTTTGGTCTCTATAATTTTAATTTGTTCAATTTTGACTCTGAATTTATAATTTTGTTTCTATTTAGTCCAATTACTTACAACTATTAGTATTTTTTAATGAAAAATATGCACATAAGTGACAAGTGTCATACTTTTAAGAATGAAATTATAAACGTGCTCAAGTTAATTAGTTAACCTTAACTGATTCAACGATTATATTCTTTCAAAAACACTAAAGAAGTTATCAATTAGACCAAATTGATACAAAATCTATAATTAAGGGTCAAAATTGAACCTATTGAAAGTATAGGAACTAAAATGATATAAGAGGTAAAATGTGGAGACTACAGTGTAATTTACCCTATTTTTAAAAAAAGAAAAGCATCACTAATCCTTACTCATTTAAAGGTTACTATTTTTCTATACGAGATAATCCTAACAAATATATTGGGTTTTGAAGTATGGATTCTCCAAGACATTTATTTAGTTCAACTTATTGCAAGTTAAAAGTTAATAATAAGAAAGTAAAAATTAAAAGCATATTTCTCTTAATTTTTACATAATTAATTTTTTGAAAACTTATTTAAGTTATTTTTATCTGATAAAAAAATATTATTATTATTATTATTATTATTATTATTATTATTATCAACAAAGATAAAAAGAGATTTATAGTTAAAAATATAATAAGTGTATTCAACAAATCACAAAGACTATTCAACATCCAGACTTTTGAACAATTAATTGATAAGTAATTGAATACTTAATTTACATGTCCAACAACATGTATACCTCTAAGACTATTCAACATATATACCTCCAAGATATCAGCAGATTCATCACAGGGGATTAGGGTTGATCACGGTCTTTGTGGACAATCTACCGGAATCTATGGTGCCAAGAAGTCTTTTTACTCTGTTTAGCAGTTATGGTGTGGTGAAGGACGTCTTCATTCCAAACAAAAGGAGGAAAGCTACTGGATCAAGATTTGGGTTTGTTCGATATGACTGTCCAATAGCAGCAAGGGTAGCAGTCCAGAAAGCAGACGGAATCTGGTGTGATAATAAGAGTTTGAAAGTGAGAATAGCGGAGTTCGGAAGCGATGCTCAGTATCCAAAGAAGAAAGAGGTTAGAAAAGGCAAGATTATACAGATGGAACAAAGGATGCACAGTAAGCTTACATCAGGGGGCAATGGTCAGAGATCTTTTGCTGATTTAGTCCAAGGTATAAGAAGAATCCTATGATAACCATAAGAGCACAGGAAGTTGGAAATTGATGGCTTTATGAAAGTTTAGTGATTAAGCTCAAATCTTTCTTTTCTTTTAATGCCTTCAAAGAAGAGTACATCAAACGAGGACTAAAGGAGGTGAGCATGAAAGATGGTGATGGCCGTATAGCACTTCTATCCTTCAAGTCAGTGGAACATCTGAAGGAATGGAAGGGTAGACTAGAGGAATGGATATATGAGTGGTGTGAATCAATGGACGAATGAGAGAAAGGTAAAGTTATTGAACAAGAAAGGTGTGTGTGGCTGGCATGTTATGGTATTCCTTTTAATCTCTGGAATATTGGCACCTTCAAGGCGGTGGGTAATATTTGGGGAGAAGTTATGTAACATGATGAAGCTACGAGTGCTGCGAAGTCATTTTTGTGTGGTAAAGTTAGGATTATTACCAGTAGTCGTGAGTTTATCAATCAAGTGATCTTATTAGAATGTAATGGAAAGCAGCATCCAGTAAGGGTGATTGAAGAGTTACTTTTACTGGCATGGTCAAGATCTAGAGAGTGCAGGTATTAGATCAATGAGGGTATACTCTCAATCTCCGGCAATGAGAGTGACATGAATTCCGGTGTCAAAGATGGGAGGGTGGAGGCAGGAAAGGAAGATGTCAGCAGGACTGTTGTGGCAGTCTCTAATGATGTGGTAAGTATAGTGCAAGACACAGTTGATGGGAGTTTACACGTTATGGACGATAGGTTCAGGAGGGTGGTTCAATCCACGGTGAGGTTGTCAGGCGCTGGCTTGGGAAATTCAAAAGATGGGGACTGTGATCATGATGATGTTCTGAAGAGTGTAGACAAATTTTCAAAAAAGGTGGCTGAGCAGCCTCAATGTTTAAATGGCAGCATTTACACGGATGGGTTCTTGAAGAGTTTGAGTGGGCCAGAACTTGTTAGGCCCAATATTAACTTAGAAGTAGTGATTCCTAGAACCCAAGTTGAAGCTTGTCCTATTAGGCTAGTTGGGCTCTCCCTATCAAACTTGAGTGATTGTGTGGCCCGTTCACAGTTTTTTTGTAGAGAGAGCCCAAGTATTTATGAAGAATGGAGAGGGTAGCTCAGTTAAGGTTAAAGAGGAAAATGTTTCTAAAAGTAAGGGAGTATACGCCCTAAGGAGGAGTGGAATAGCAAAAAGGTGTGGCAAGCCTTTTCAGAAATGCATAATTCTACCTAAAAGCTTCAATAGGGGTGCCATCTTCAGAGCAACTGCTGCTGCAATTTCTAACTCACAATCGACTTATAGTGAATCGAGCAGAAGAAATGGCAAGCTGATAAAGGAGGCTAAAGCAACAATTCAACTCGGAAAACCACTTGGTATTGATTTTGGTGGAAAGAAGGATAATGTGTTAGAATAGATAGTCCAGCTGGAAGCCAGGGATTTGGAGAGGATTACTGATGGTGTTCGGGCAGCTGATGTCTGATTAACCAATGGAGGATCTTAGGTGTTTTGTAGATTGCTTTATCAAGATAATGTCTTGGAACGTTCGTGGTCTGAGTAGACCAAAGAAAATGAGCAAAATTAAGAACATCTTAAAAGAAAGAGGAGTGGATGTGGTGTTAATTCAAAAATCAAAGAGAAGAAATTTGGAGGAAGTGTTTATTAAATCTATTTGGCCATTTGATAAAATGGAGTATGTGGGTGTAGATGCTGATGGCAGTGCTGGAGGCTTATTGTGTATTTGGCACCCTGAGAGATCTAAGCTTGTTGATTGTTGTGGCTTTAGAAATTTTATCATTCTATCAGGTACTATTGGTCAATCTTTTGATTGCTCTGTGTTGAATATTTATGCACCCAACGATGTTTGCAAGAGAAGGCAGTTGTGGGAATCATTAAAGAGAATGAAAATTTCCTACCCTAACCCTTGGTGTATGGGTGGAGATTTTAATGAAATTAGATTTCTCAGTGAAATGAAGGGTTGCTCAAGAAGGGATAGAGGTATGAATGATTTTAATGAGTTGGTTGATCAATTGTATAGCGATCCCGGTTTTCTCTGTTGTTGTTGAGTTATAATCCGAACTTGGTTCCGTAGATCTGTTGTTGTCTTATCCTCATTTCTATCCCTTACTCTTTGTGTTAGAGTTTTGGGTTGTGTTGGGCGTGTTTCGAACAGGTTGGTTGAGCCTTAGTCCCGTTCCTTGTTGCCCAGATTTTTGGTGGTACGCTCGAGCGGGTCTCCTTACGCTCGAGAGGGGTTTTCACAGTTCCAGCATTTCGTGCCTCTGCAAAACTTCTGCAGGTGTGTTTTTCACGCTCGAGCGAGTTTCCTTTCGCTCGAGCGGGTCGCGCTCGAGCGGGTCTGTTGGCGCTCGAGCGGGGTGAGCATTGTCGGTGAAGATACTGAGAGAGGAGAATCTATGCTCGAGCGGACTGGTTTTCACGCTCGAGCGGGTGTGTTTTGTTCTTGTGTCTTGGAGCTCGAGCGGCACTTCTTGCGCTCGAGCGGGTTCAGTTTTTGTACTTGACGCTCGAGCGTCCTTTTATCCGCTCGAGCGGGAAAGTCGTATATCAGTTGGCAGCTAGGCTATTTTAGATCACTTTTTACATCCTCTCTCTCTCTCTCTTACTTTTCTAAAACTCCATTGGAGAGCCTCTCTCACTAGAAACTCACATTCTCTCTAGGGATTGATCTAATTAGAGTATTCTCCTACCCTTTGGCCTTTACAAAAAATGTGTTAATCATTGAGGGCTACATTTTGATCCGAGAAATTTGGTATTTGGAGCACTTCCGAGTTTAGCTCTTCTTCTCCTTGGGTTCTATATTTGAGGTAAGGATTTCCTTGTTCTTTTTTAATACTTCGTCTATAGATAGACATGTGGTAGTTTTGTATTGCATGAAAATCGTATCCACGTTGGATTTGTTTGAAATCATGAGAAGGAACCTAGGGTTGGTTGTTTAAAAATGGTTATTTTATCATTGATGGTTGTTTTGGGCTAATTGGAGTGTAAATTAGCATATTGTAGTTGAAAGAAGAAAAAGCCCTAAATTATATTTTGATTTGGTAAATTAAAATGGAGGGTAGTTAACCTATGATGTAATTCTCTATTGTTAACGTGAGTTGGGTGAAAGTGTTAATGCCTAAGGGGTTAACTTTGGCTTTGGAATGGTTTTGAAATGAATGTAGTGGACTAATGTGAGTTATGGCTTTATTATCCACGAATTTGGTTTTGTGACAACAAAAGGGACGGAGTTGGTTTTGTCAAAATGAAAGGAAATGGAACTTGTTTTGTGAAATGGGAAAAGTATTTTTGAAATATGCATGAAAATTGGATTGTTGTTTCTTGAGTGTTGAACACACACATGTGAGGGATTGTATCTTTAACTACCTTGTTAATGTTGTTGTTGGGTTTGTGATCTCATAGCGATTGAGTCTTTAATAGATGTACTAAATATTTGCATTTAGAGGTTTTGTCCTTGGTCATCGGTGGAGGATGACATGGATGTGTTGGATTGATGTGTATGCATTACACCACTATTGATTGAACATTGTATGTGAAGAAGTGCTGAGATACATTATATATGTATCCTTGCTCGGGGGAAATTAATTATATGTTCATATACTTTAACACATTGCTTGTATCTTAATGGTTTATGTATATGTATTATACATGATAGTTGTGCCATGTTGTATTTTGGTTGGTGGTGTTATACCTTGCGCTAAGAATCAGTGGTACCGAGACCTTCCAGTTAGCGCCTGGAGAACTGACTGCACTGAGAATCTAAGGCACCACACCCTTCTAGCTAGCGCCCGGTAAACTGGTGTGTTATTGTGAGAGGTGTATCTTTGGCTTACTACGCACATAGCTGGTAGAGCAAAGTTTTGTTGTTGTAGTTCCATTGTATCTATGGATATCATGGATTTGGTTGGTTACAGTTTCGGAGGGCCAAGTTACCTCATTGGTTGATTTTATACATGTTAGTGAGTTGTTATCTCCCTTTTTATAAAAGTATGCATGTATAGTTATGATTGTATTGGGAACGAACCAAAATGTCTTTTTGTTATTTGGAAAGTGTGAAAGAGATCGAACAAAAAAAAAAATGTTTTGAAAAGGCACATCTGTTGTATGAATAGAAAATGGAAGAAAGTAATGGGCTTAGTGAAATTATTTCCTAAGTAATTGTTAATGTTAAGAAAGATTGAGAACGAGCATTAATGAAAAGAAAAAGGAAAGATGAATCGCTTATGGCGTTGATTGAAATGGTTGTTTTCGAAAAAAGTTCATACTTATGTATATTTTGTGTAAACTGTCACATTACTATCCTAGTATGAGATTGAGCATCCATGATCATAGCTATCTGTAAGTTGTTATTGTTGAGGGCCATGTTGAGATCCCTACTGGACTATATGTTCATCCCACGTTGTTGAATCTTTCTCAGGTGTTGAGCTGAATGTGCTGCAAGATTTGGATCTTCTTATTTGTTGGTCACGGGGCCTCTCTTGTATTGGCAGAATGCCATATGTGTAAAAGGGTTGCACCCTTCTTCTTGATTCGTTAATGATGTAAGCCCAAGGGCAATTTATTTATTATACTCATGTTGTATTTATTTGCATACGAATGTGAGCAATATGATTCACTTCTACGAGTTGAATATACGAGTTTATTTCCGCATGCTATCTCTGTAATGGAATTAAGTAAAAGAAATTGGTAATACTTCGAGTAATAAAAAGTGGGATGTGACAAATTGAGTCTTGTTGATTTGGCAATGAAGGGCAAAAGTTTTACGTGGTGTAATGCACAAGATGGGGAGAAATGGAGCCGGATAGATAGATTCTTTCTGGAGAGTGGGTGGCTTGAGAAGTTCTCTTTCAAGCAATGGCGACAACCTAGAACAATTTCTGATCACTGTCCTATCCTAATAATAGAGGATGAAAGGAATTGGGGTCCAAAACCTTTCAAATTTATTAATGCTTGGTTACTTCATCCTAATTTCAAATCAATAGTGAAGAGCTCATGGGATGAAGAAGTTCAACCAGGTTGGGCTGGGTTCAAATTGATGAGGAAGCTTGCAATACTCAGAGTCAATCCCAGAAGATGGAATTCTGAGGTGTTTGGTCACGTGGAAACTCAACTTAAGCAAGCAGAGGAGGACTTATATGCTCTGGATTTTGTGGCTGAAGAAAGATCATTGTCAGAAATAGAAGTAAGTACAAGGAGAGAAGTTAGAGGGCTAGTTTGGAATTTGAGTAGGAGGAAAGAGAGTTTATGGCATC